CTGTGCTGGGGGCCCCCCCCCCCCCCCAGTGCATAAATTTTGTGCACCGGGCCTCTAGACTATAATAATAAAAGTGTAATATGCTAATTAGACCAGACAGCCAGGGCTGCGAGGGCTGAGGCAAGCCACCGCGGCTGCAAGGGCCGAGACCCTTGCACAAATTTTGTGCATTGAGCCTCTAGTGTTGCAATAACTATAAATGACACCAGGTGGGTGCAACACTAACAGCAGAATAATGCATGTTGTCACTCAACTTTGCATAACCTAATACTTACATTTTATCAGAATAATTATGTGGGGTTTCTTATATGTATACTCAATTCTTGGGAAAAGGAAGAATTGTTAGATTTGACCCTAAGCAAAATAAAGTTCTCTATACCACTTGACAAAACTCTCTCCTCAGGATACCCATTGTAGGTGCCAGTCACAAAAAACATGACTTCCTGATTCTTTAGCCCAATATATAGCAATCAACCAGGCCTCACTATGTTTACCTCTTTCCCCATCACCTACCAAAGTATCTACAATGAAGACTAGTTAATCTGATAACTAGTTAAAGTCAATGTTTGCAGGGGTGAGGGGAGTGGGTGGGTGGAGGTGGAAGAGGGTATGGGGGCATAAATAGTGATAAAAAAATAAAATAAAGAAAAATAATAATAAAGTCAATGTAATAATAACACTAGCTAATAGTAACCAAGGGCTTACTCTGTGCCATTTAATGTGATAAGTGCTTTATTTGCCTGATCTCATTTATCTGCATCATCTCATGAGATGAATCAGCTAGAGAAGAGGGAGTCCTGCTGGTGTGGCTCAGTGGTTGAGCTTTGACCTAAGAATCAGGAGTTTACGGTTCGATTCCCGGTCAGGGTATATGACTGGGTTGCAGGTTCAATCCCCAGTGTGGGGTGTGCAGGAGGCAGCCAATCAATGATTCTCTCTCATTGCTGATGTTTCTCTCTCTGTCCTTCTCCTTTCCTCCCTGAAATAAATAAAAACATATTAAAAAAAGAGAGAGATCTCTTACCCCTCCCTCCGAAGGACTTGTATGCATGCATATAAGCATAACCAATGGACATAAGACACTGGGGGGTAGGGGAGGCTGGGGGATTGTCAAGGGCGGGGGGAAAAAAAGGAGACATACGTAATACTCTTTGTAATATTTTAAGCAATTAAAAAAATTTTTTTAAAAAATAAAGTTTCCTTAAGTCCCTTTCAAAAAAAAAAAAAGAGAGAGAGAGAGAGAAGAGGGATTTCTCAATCAGGACTTCCTGAGACACAGTGTTATTAATTGAGCACTAACTTTACAGCAGACCCTATACTCAGTGTTACATACTCCTGTATAACTCTTGTAAACCCTGAGAAATAGCTATCATTAATCCCCCTACTACAGGTGAGGAAACTGTGGCATGGAGGGAGGGAGCTGCCCAAGAGCATACAATCAGTAAAGCATAAGTCAGATTTTGAACTTGTCTGCCCGATTCCATATCCCATTCTCTTAACCACTACATTGTACTCCACTCAAACATTTATTGAACTGAATTTACTGAACTATTATTTAATGCTTTAGAAGTAGCCATGGTGATGGTATGGCAGCCAGGTACAATAGTCATCTTTCAAAAAGTGAACCAGGTGGCCATGACTTCACACACATATAACACAACCTGAGGTTATGTCAGGGCAAGAGGCCAGGGAGCTCAGACCTGGATAGTGGGTGCTCCGGAGAGCATTGTTGTCCTTGCTCATCCGCTCCATGATGGTTTTCCACCTGCTGTTGACCTGGTCAAATAAGGCTGATTCATTGGGCAGCTGCTTACGGATGTCCTCTCCTAGGAAGATATTCTGAAGGGCCAAGAATTTTGGAGTGAGAGGCGTTTCTCACATACTCTCCACACTCTGCTCCCTGCTCCCAGACCATGGGTGATAGTTGAGTAGAAGATAAGGAGCATTAGAATCAAAGGGTCAGAGAGGTCAGAGATCTAGGTCCAAGAAAAATAATGAAAGAAGAACAAGGCTTTTCAGGGAGGGAACTGACGGTGAGAGGTAATAACTAGTGCTTGGGTCCTGAATGAAGAATCGCTGTGGCGGTGGGAAAACGAAGCTGATAACGGGGCAAATATTAGGTCCTATGCAAATAAGGGAGTGAAAACAAGTCGTAGGAAGAGCTCAGGCTGTGAGTCCTGACCTCCAGGTACATCCACTGACGCTGCACTGTGAGCACTGTCTCAATAACTTCCAAGATGAGGGAGAGGCAGCGCTCCCAGTGGTCCACCTCCTTCTCAAAGGCCTTGACAAAACGAGATGCCTTCATGGTGGACAGAGCCACCTGGTTATCTTCCAGTGCCTGGAATACTTCCTCTGTGCCTCTGGGGAGGAAAGCATCAAAATCATGTTCCTTCCCCATCTGCCAATCCTTGGTCCCCGCTCCGCAGCCCAGGTCACACAGCCCTCCCCTCCCTAGCTCCCCGAGGCCCTCTCTACCTGAGCCGGTGATAGCCCTTATCCTTGTAGGGTACTAAGTCTAGCTGAATCACTTCCCAAGTCTTGGCAATGTTTTGTAATGCCTGTGGAAAGAAATCGGGGGACACAACAATCAGATGTTTAATCCCCAAGGGGAACAGGAGCTGCAAGAAGCCATCAGTCGATAAAAAGCTGGAAGCCTTTGCTCCAGGCTTAGAAAGCGGGGGAGTGTGGAGAGGACTCTGTCATACCAACTCTATTGCCAGTTCTTTGGTTGCTGAGGCAGAGATCTCCCCAATCTTCTCCACGTGTTGATCCATTCCAAGTTCCACAATCTTCTCCAAAGTAAAGCTTTCAGATTCCTGATCAAACTCCCGTTGGATCTCATCCCTGACCTGATCCCAGTGCCTGCAGCCAGGGACAGAGGTCAGTTTAGAGGGCTGAACACCAGGGCCTGCTGAAAGTGTTAGCGTCACTGCTGAGCTTCCTCCCATTGGGATATTATGATGTATATTTATTCATTCATGATTTCACCCCTATTTACCAAATAGGCTCTAACAGGCAACGTAGGCACTGTGGGGAATACAGAGATTGATGTGCGATTCTCAGGAGAAGGGAGTTAAGATGGATCACTACAGTTTTATTATAGATTCTGTGCTGGGCTAAGTGCCCTACATGAAACATCTCACTTAATTCTCACAACCACTCTATAAATCAGGGGTAGGAAATGTCCAGCCCGTAGGCCATATAAGGCCCACAAAATCATTTGGTCTGATCCTGCCAATGCATTGGGGGTGAGTTCATTAAATGTTAAGTATAGCAGATTAATTTTTAAGGGGATTAATTTTGCATGGCCCACGAATGATGTTATAAATATCCAAATGGCCCTTGGCAGAAAAAAGTTTCCACACCCCTGTGTAAATGATGAATTATTGTCATTCCATTTATATATGAAGAAACTGAGGCTTAGAGAGATTAAATAAGTTAAGTAAATAAAGTGGTTAGGTTATACTTAACCCCATACTTAATGGTGAAACATTGCCAAAAACATTATCCCTGGAGGCAATGCAAAAGAAGTAAAATTATTTTCTCCTAAATAGATAGGTAATTAATTACTAAAACACCATTTGTAAAATAGTTTATTCTATACTCAATGGTTTCAAAGGACCCTTCTATTAAACTTGAAAAACAAAAGTATAAAGAATTAGAAGAAAGTTGGAGAGGATGAATTTATAACTCTGGGGTAAGGGAGGTCTTAAACAAGGCACAGAAGCAAAAACCATAAAGAAAGTTGTTGCCCTGGCCAGCGTGGCTCATTGGTTGGGCGTTGTTCTGTGCAGCAAAAGGTTGCTGGTTCAATTCCCAGTCAAGGGCGCATGCCCTGGTTGTGGGCTTGATCCCTTGTAGGGGGCGTGTGGGAGGCAGCAGATGGATGTTACACTCTCACATCAAAGTTTCTCTCTCTCTCCCTCTCCCTCTCCTTTCCTCTCTTTCTAAAAATCACTATTTTTTAAAAAGAAAGAAAGTTATACTTTTGGCTGCATCAAAATAAGAACTTTTGTATGGCAGAAGGCATAAAGCTTAGCTAAGACAGATGGCATAAAGTGAGAGGAGACAGAGGGGGAAGAAAGCAGAGAAGGAATACAGAACCCAGGACAGTGCGAGAAACAGAGGACCGTGGCAGGCTCTAATGAAGGTCTCTTCCAGAAGTGTGTTTGTAGACAGAGGGGCACAGAGAGCTATGATCACCACGGAGGGGACAGGCCAGACGGTCACCCCAGGAGCGGAGGAGACTTACCTCTCTCTGAGAGCGGAGTTTCGCAGGTCTGAGATGAGAGGCATGGTCCTCTTGAACTGCTCGAGTTTTGATCGAGTGGTTTCAATAATTTCCCAGTTTCGGTCCTGAGCAAAAGTGGGAAGTATCAGAAGAGCTGACAATCTTACCTGCACAGTTCCCCTTCCTCAGTTGGCTTATCTTCTGCCCCCTTCCCTCCTCTCTTCGCACACCTTAAACTCTTTGGCTAGTCTTGTAAGGCGACGATACAGACCATGGGCCATGGTCTCCATGGTCTCTGTCTGCAGGTTCAGGAACCGACCGGTCTTCCACTGGTTCCAGTTTTCCTCCCAGTCCCGTGTGATCTCCCAGATTTGCTGGAGTGCGTCTAGCTCCTGCGTGGCAGAGAGAAAGATGTAAGTAGCATGACTCTTGCCCTCTTTCTTCCTGACAAACACTCAGGTTCTTTGCTCCTCTCATCTGAGAAGTTTTTCCCTCCAGGCAATAGAGCTGCCTCCTCAATTCAGATTTCTTTCTCTACTCTCTTGCCTTACGAGCTTCTCAAATAACAAGCACAGGAAAGTATATTCAGCATCATTAGTCAGTAGAGACATGCAAATCAAAACCACAATGAGACTCAACTTCACACCCACCAGAATGGCTAGGACCCAAAAAAAAAGTGGGGGGCGAGGAGTAAGTGTTGGCGAGGATGCAGAGAAATAGAAACCCTCGTACATTGCTAGTGGGAGTGTAAAATGGTGCAGCTGCTGTGGGAAATAGTTTGGCAAGTCCTCAAAAAGTCAAACATAGAATTACCATATGATCTAGCAATTCCACTCCTGGGTACATACCCACAAGAACTGGGAACAGAGACTCAAACAAATACAAGTACACACATGTTCATAGCAGCACTACTCACAACAGCTGAAAGGTGGAAACAACCCAAATGTCCATTACTTGTTAATGGATAAACAAAATGTGGTAAATTCATACAATAGAATACTAGCCAGCCACAAAAAGAAATGAAATATTGACTGGCACATGCTACAACACGGATGAACCTTGAAGATATCATGCTAAGTGAAAGAAGCCAGATACGAAGAGCCACATATTTGTATGACTCCATTTATATAAAATGTTCAGAATAAGCAAATCCACACGCATAGGAAATAGGTTAGTGGCCAACAAGGACTGGGGAGAGACCGGATGGGGAATGACTGCTGTGGATACAGGGTTTCCTTTTGGGGTGATGAAAATGTTTTAAAACTAGAGGTAATGGATACACAACACTGTGAATGTACTAACTGCCACTGAATAACTGTTCACTTTAAGCTGGTTCTTTTCTTATCTGAATTTTACATCAATTTTTTTAAAAAAGCTACTCATGCCCGGCCAGCATGGCTCAGTGGTTGAGAGTCGACCTATGAACCAGGAGGTCACCTTTCGATTCTGGTCAGGGCACATGCCAGGCTTGCAGACTCAATCCCCAGTAGTGGGAGGTGCAGGAGGTAGCTGATCAATGATTCTCTTTCATCTTTGATGTTTCTATCTCTCTCTCCCTCTCCTTCCTCTCTGAAATCAATAAAATATATTTTAAAATAAAATAAAATAAAATAAGAAGCTCCTCATGCACCCATCTTCCTAGTCCCAGCTGTTTTTCCAGGCCCTTAGGGTGAATTCACCTGTCCCCTGCCCCATATGCTTAATTACCATGAGGGCCTAACTCAGCACCCCACCTTCTCCAGGTTCTGCAGGTCCTTGGAGGCTGGCTGCTCGATCTTGAAGATGCCCAAGTTGGTACGGAGAGTGTTTTCTTCGTCCCTCATGGCATTCAGCATGGCCCGCATTTGGGCGATCTGATCTAGAGCAGTCTGGTGTCCCACACTACTGGTGAAGGGGCCTGTGGAAAATCCCAGATGAAGCTCAGATTCCCACTCAAGGTCATGGTCCTCTGAAAGGACTGTCATCGCTCTCCTACCTCTTTGTGGGTAATTCTCACTTCTTCCTCACATGAGAGAGGGAAGGAAAGGAAAATAAGAGAAAATGCATTGAAAGGATGATGATTAATCTTACCAAAACTATTACATGTGGCTCAAGAATCAGAAACAGGTGGGACTTGGGAGGTGGGTGTAAGAAAACTGGAAATGTGAGTTGGGCTGCTGTCTTTTGACCAACCACAGTTGGGTTGCTGACAGAAGTGCCACTGCTCTTTCCCGTCCCCCCTACAGTCCTTCCTCCACTCATCCTTGTTCGCACCTCCCTCGACTGTAACCTTTGAAAGACTGGGTCAAACCAAAGGTAAAGAAGGAGGAGAGGATACGAAAGGGGTACCTTTGGTGCCAAATTCTTCCAGAAGATTATGGGCTTTCTTCTTGAAATCATCAGCTGAGTGAATAAGGCTTGTCTTGAATTTCTCCTTGTGCTTCTTCAACATCTGTTCACTGTCCAACAGAGTTTGTTGGAAGACAACCCACTCCCCATTGAGACTGTTCAGCATCTCCAGTACCTGGGGACATCAAAGAGGGGAGGGTGACCCACGAGCAGAAGTTCTGTCCATCTCACCAATGCCTTTATGGACTCTTTTCTGATCCTCCACAGCAGAGTCTGTGGCCAAGTTCTGCATGCAAAGAGGCCCAAAGAAATCAAGCAGTTGAGTTGCTGGGCCTAAAAGAACTCCATAAATAGCCTTAGGTGGGTTATCTCAGTGGATTAAGTGTCAGCCCAGGGACTGAAGGGTCCTGGATCCGATTCCAGTCAAGAGCAGGTACCTCGGTTGCAGGCTTGATCCCCCTGATTGGGGCGCATGCGGGAAGCAACCAATCGATGTGTCTCTCACATTGAAGAGTCTCTCTCTCTCTCTCTCCCTCTCTCTCTCCCCCTCCCTTCCACTTTCTCTAAAAAAAAGAGTCATTGGGGGAAAAATATCCTCAGGTGAGGATTAACAACAAAAACAAAAACAAAAAAACTTTAAAAGAACTCCATAAACTAACCAGAAATACCATTTGAATTAGCTTTGGCTCTCAGAGGCTTTTGAATCTTGAACCTTCTCCACACCCCCCCCTCCACACACACACACACACACACACACACACACACTCGTCTGCTCTCCCTCCTGACAGCAGAGGGATCTACTATGTGAGAGATCAGCTTCCCATGCTACCTGCTGCTGGCATGGGTTCAACTTGGGTGGACCAAACGGCACTGGAACTCACACTCTCCGCAACGGGCACCTCGTACTTCTCAAGAATGGCGAACTGCTCGTGGATGGGAGGAATCTGGGTCTCCAGGTTGGGCAAGTCGTGCTGCAGGGTATCCATGAGTTGCAAACTGACCCCCAGTTCCTCCAGCGTCTGGGGAGGGCGGCTTATTCTAAAGCCGGGCAAAGAGCACAGTTAAGGAAACAGGGCAGGGCATGCTCTCCCCGCCTGTGCCATGCGCCCCCCGCCGCCCGTACTTCTCCGCATTCTCCTTCAGGTAGGTGTGCAGCTCCAGGAGGCGCCGGGCTGCCATCTCCTTGAGCAGAGTCGTGAACTTGTTCTGCCACTCGTTGCAGTGCTGCACCAGCGAGAACTTGAGATTCGAGCAGTCCAGCAGCACAAACTGGATGTTGAGGACGGTCTCCTCCTTCTGCACATTATTAGCAACCTCTGTGTAGCTGAAAGGGCCCATATTCCTGCTAGCAGGTTTTTTTCTTTGAAGACATGCCCACTGCCCTGATGCCAGTTCAAGTTCTCATTTCCTGCCACCCAGACCTGTGCAGCAGCTCCAAAGCTTTCTGCTACACCCCATTGTCTCTCATTTCAGTCCACCCAGACACAGCTGTGACCATGTCATTTTCCCAACCGCTGCCTTCAGGACAGCTATCAGATTCAGTCTGGCATTCAAGTCTTTAGCATTACATGGACCTGGGTTGAGTTCACACTGGTGCTCACTAGCTCTATGACCTCAGGCAGGTTGTTTAACTGTTGGAAGCCTATTTCCTCACCTGTGTCATGATGATAAAAATAGGCCCTACCTCACAAGGTTGCGGAGAGAATGAAGTTGGTTGTTGCCTATAAATCCCTTTGCACCTCCCTTTTGTGTATCTATGTTCCAAATACTCAATATTTGGCGAACATGTTCCCAACTTTATGCCTTTGCTGATGCTATTTTCTCTCCCTGAAATGCCCTCCCACTGCCCACCTCCGCCTGTTGAAATCCTACCCATTGCATAAAGCCCAGCCCCACAGTCACTCCCTTCATGAAGCCTTTCCTATGTCCCTGGCTGGAAATTCTGTCCTCCCATTGAACTGTCCTGGTACCTTGTAAACCTTAATCATATACTTTTCACATTTGAAGCTTGTATAATAGCAAGCACCTGAGGACCGTACTTTACAGTTTACAATGTGCTTTTACATATATTGAATAGTCTCACAACATTGTAAGTAGGTGGTGTAATATCTGTTTCACAGGAGGCTGAGGCCTGGAGAACCTAAGTGCCTTAAGATTCCACAGCTAGCCCTAACCGGTTTGGCTCAGTGAATAGAGCATCGGCCTGTGGACTCAAGGGTCCCAGGTTTGATTCCGGTCAAGGGCATGTACCTTGGTTGCAGGCACATCCCCAGTGGGGAGTGTGCAGGAGGCAGCTGATCGGTGTTTCTCTCATCGATGTTTCTAACTCTCTATCCCTCTCCCTTCCTCTCTGTAAAAAATCAATAAAATATATTTTTTAAAAAAAAGATTCCACAGCTAGAAAGCAGCAGAGCTGGGATTTGATCAGTTCCCACGATGCCCCAGCCCTGTTCTTTTATCTTCCCTACTACACTGTAGCCCTCAGGCGGAAAACACTTGTTCATTTCTTTTTATTCCTCAGGATCCATAGAACAACGGTGGTTTCTTTAATAAATGTAAGACTAACCAGAGGACAAAGAGATGGGAGATCTTTTCCTGACTTTAGAATTTAAGCATCTTCTTCAAATGAACTCCAACCTACCTTCTTAAAGTGGAAGTGTTCACTTCTCTCATCCTTTAGATGCCAAGCATTTCCTTCTTTCCAATAGGACCCTGTGGGTACTACCCACCCAAACGGCTTTTCCCCTAAATCTTATCCAGCTCTGATGTGATCTCCACCCCTGAGAAGCAAAGGTTCCATGCCCCAGGCCCTGTTCTTTCCTATAGTTGAGGACACACTTTCTGCACCTCTCCTTACCCCCAGCCTGCCTTCTGAGCCTCTAGCTCCTGAGATTCTAGCCCAGTGATGGCGAACCTATGACACGCGTGTCAGAAGTGACACGCAAACTCATTTTTTTGGTTGATTTTTCTTTGTTAAATGGCATTTAAATATATAAAATAAATATCAAAAATATAAGTCTTTGTTTTACTATGGTTGCAAATATCAAAAAATTTCTATATGTGACACGGCACCAGAGTTAAGTTAGGGTTTTTCAAAATGCTGACACACCGAGCTCAAAAGGTTCGCCATCACTGTAAATCTATACCTTCAGAGACAGACCTTCACATCCACCTGCCCTCCTTACCGGGCAATGTCGGCATCAAAAGAAGAGACAGGAGGGTTGAGACGCTGATAGCGACGAATAAAAGAGTCCTTGTTGATCTCCCAGATTTCCCGATACATATCCCAGGTCTTGAGATAGTTCTGCAGCAGGCTTGCGTTATTCGTCATACCACTGCTGATCTGGGCCTGGATCTTCTTGATGTCCTCATCACGCTCTTCAGGACCCAGCAAAATGCTTCTCATTAACTTTCACTTCAACCCAAGCTCCAGCCTGGCCCTTGGCCACTGCCCCCGACCCTCCACTCCAATATCACCTCCACAAAGGAATAAGACTCAAACATGAGCATTAGAAAATAAAGGAGAAGGCAGAAAGTAAAAGTATGAACTTAATCTATAAGATTCAGATATATCAGCTGTTGGTATCTGGACATGTTATATCCCAGGCCCAGTCCTAAATTTGTCCTTCCTAATCTCCCACCCCAAATCCCAAATCCCAGGAGCATCTGTTACCTAATCTTCTTGCCTCCATCCCTGCCTTTGCTTCCTTCCCCAATCCAGCCCCCTGACCTGCCTTTTCTACCCGTACTAGAGATGACTGACCAGTATCTGGAAACAGCCCTGGTCTCTCCTCCCAGCTCTGCCCATTCCTAAGCCTCTGCTATCCCTGCACCAAATTCCCTCCCTATTGCCCACTCACCCACGATTAAGTGGATGGGGTCCCGAAAAAACTTGCGCTTGAGGAGAATTTCAGGGAGGTGGCGGAAGACAGAGATGGTGGAGAAAAGGTGGTTGCCAATGTCATTGACCACATTTGCCAAAGTCTGCAGAGTGGGTGAGAACTCCACCTGTGGGAACACAAGGAGAGAGCCTTCGCACAGGCCACGGAGGAGACAGGCCTCAGGACTGGTAAGGTTGAACACCTCAGAACCAGATCTGGAGGCCAAAGGATAAAGTTAAGGTCAAGGGTCAAGTTCAAGGATTGAGGGAGACTGGAGAATAAAGTATGATCATTTTCAGGTGTTGGGGGCAAAGCGGTGCCCACCTGTTTCGCATTTCCCTGCATGTCATTCTGCAAAATGACAAGGACTCGGAAGAGTGGGTTTGGGGAGGTCTTCCCATCCCCATTGATAGCTTTGGACAGTTCCAACAGTGACCACTTCACATTCAGTCGCAGGGCATCCTCCATCATGTGGTCCAACCGAATCGTGTATAGCATCCACTGCTGCTGAATCTGGTGGGAAGAGGGAAGGGAAAGAGAATCCTCAGGGAAGACAGTAGTTTGGGCGGGGGGGGGGAATAGGCTGGTTAAACAGAAAGGCAGGACTCTGAGTCCAGAAGGAAGAAGGTTTGACAGACTGAAGGTTGGGTGAATCCAAGAATAGAGCAGGATGTTTGAGAAGCACATACTGGGGCGGGGGGTGGGGTGGGGGAGATCGAAAAAAACAAGAGGATGGTCTGATGGGCCTGGGGGCCTGGGGGCTTCCCCAACCACAAAGCCCTGGCCACAGGACCCCTACCTCAGAGCCATCATTCTTGAAGACTTCATAGGAGTTGGTCATGATGGCTATCACATCATGGTGTAGGCTCACCAATTTCTGCTGCACAGCTGCCCGATGCTCTTTTTGGTCCTCCTCGAATTCCAGGTCCCTGTACACCCGTTTGCCACTAATGCGTACCAACAGTGTCTCTGATATCTCTTGGGCTCGCCAGCCAATGGTCAGAGTGGATGCCTTGAAGTCATTCACAATCATCTGTACCTGGACCCAGAAACGCCCCCATAGGGTGGGGGCTTCAGCTTGGGAAAAGACCTTCTGGGCCTAATTCTATCCTCCCACCTGTCCTCTACCTAGAGTTGCTGACAGTAAAAGTCCTTCCCCAAGCAAACTTCATTTATTTCCCATTACTCCCTGGTCTCTCCACCACTGCCTATGATTCAGGTATTAATTTCCCATGCACCCGCCTTTTGCTCCGCCCTTAGGGTCTAATGACCGTGGCCTACCTTGCTGGCATGGATGCGGCACTCTGTGATGAAAAAGGCACTGGCCCCCTTCAAGGACCAGTGCAGTTTCTTGAGTCCAGGGTGGATCTTCTTATCCAGGAAGCGGATGCGTTCTTTGAACAGGGCCTGCTCATTTGGGGACAGCATGGCAATGATCCTGCGTAGAAGAGCAGACTGGTAGCTGATGGGGACAAGCTCTGAAGACCTCTCCTCCACACCAGAAACTTGGTGGGAAAATCTGAAAGTTCACGATTCTAGAGAGTGCTTTTCAACAAAACATTTCGCAACGATGGAAATGTTCTACAATTGGTGCTAATACCATAGCCACTAGCCACGTGTGGCAATGAAGCATCTGAAATGTAGCCTGTGCAAATGAGTGACTGAATTTTTAAAAATTATTTAATTTCAATTTTTAATTAAAATAGAAATAGCCATATGCTGCTAGTGGCTACCACAAGGGATAGTTCCATTCCAGACACCCAAAAAAGACTGCTGGTTCCACCCCCTTGGACTTTAATTGGGATGAAAAAGGTACCCAACCCAGAACAAAGCCTCACTCCAGAAATGAGTGCCAAGGGCATTAAGAGAAGAATTGACTGCATGGCCTTGGTTCAATGAATCTGATGTTATTCTGTGTCCATAATCTGAATGCCAGTTTCATTCCTAGAGAAGTGACCCAGGCTTACAATACATATGGCCCTGTGGGGTGGGAGAGGACCTGGCTGTTTGCTCTCTACCCTAAAGCCAGAAGCCAAAACTACAAGGGAGTAGTCGTAGGGCCACAGAGAGAGACTGGACGAAAAGAATCTTTTGAGATGGACAAAATGGAAAGGGTGGCTACTGTAGGGAAAGAACATCATGGAGTAGGTACAACAAAAAGGAGGTAAGTAGCATGCAGAAGGACTGCCGTGAGGACTGGGGCCCTACTTATTGTAGTCTCGAGCAACGAGCAGCAGATTTTCACGAAGAACACGCAGATCCTCCGCACGTTCAGCGACGTTCACCACATAATGGGGCGTCTCGAACAGCAGCCGCTCCCAGTAGTCAATCTCCACAAAGAGAATCAGCAGAGACCTTGGGGGGGAAGAAGAGCAGAGCAGCTGAAGGTGCTGCTCAAGGGCACAAGAGCCAACAGCAGGCCGAGGGGGCGCAGGGCTGGGCAGCACCGAGGCAGAGGAAGGGTGAGAAACGAAGCAGCATCTCCAGGTTGACGACACATGGCGTTGGCCCCTCCCCTCACTAAAGCAGCAGTAAAGAGGTTTGTGTTGCTTAAGGCATAAGCCCACCTATTCAAGGAGACAACAACAGAGTAATTTTGGAAGCTGAACAGTAGATGGATAAGGAGCAGAACTGGAATCTTAAGCTGGTGACGGAAACAGCTAAGAAGCCACTCGGTTCCTGCTGTAGGATTCTCCAAAGGCCCAGGGGCTGGCGGCTTCAGGTATCAGGGAAGGGCATGAAGGTGGGACTAAACCGGGAAAACCAGGTGAAAGTTTAGGAAGCAGCTCTCCCCATGTCCCCTCCCGTACTCCGCACAGTTAGGCAGGTGCCCTCTTCACCTCAACAAAAGACTGAAGGCTTCTTGCCTGGAGAAGGCAGTACAGAACCTGAGGGTCTTTGGACTGGACCCCAAGCCCAGTTGAAGGAGAGAGGGGTCGGTAAGTGGCCATGTGCACACTATGTTAAGACCTCCAGCCTTCTTTTCCTACCCAGAAACCAGCACTCTGGCAGCTGGACCTACACCCTCCAGAATGAAGTTTGAAAGATTGTTTTCTGAGGCCTCTGACCAGCCTAAGAGGAAAAGTGCCAAGATGATGCCTTCAGTAATCCCCTGAAAACAGCGCCCCCGCATCAGCCTGCAGGGAAGCTCACAGGAGTGAAATTTTAACTTGTCAGTCAACAGCACAAATTTGGATAATACCTTCCTGATGTCGAGCTGAAAACTCCATGAGAAACTTTTTTCACAATGATGTTCAGGCTTTGCCAGAAGTTTGTCAATAAATTTCTGGAGTAAAAATTGTATTTTATTGACAAGTATACTTTATAAAAAGAAATAAATGTGGCCCTACCTGATTTGGCTCAGTGGATAGAGCATTGGCCTGCGGGCTGAAGGGTCCCAGGTTTGGTTCCAGTCAAGGGCACATGCCCGGGTTGTGGGCTTGATCCCCAGTGTGGGGCGTCAAGGAGACAACCGATCAATGACTTTGTAGAATAAAAGAATAAATAAAGAAACATAGAGGAAGAAAATTTAAAGTGAGAATCAATGCATGCATTTGTTATTAAATTTAAAAACTGCTGCCCTAGCCGGTTTGGCTCAGTGGATAGAGCGTTGGCCTGTGGACTCAAGGGTCCCAGATTTGATTCCGGTCAAGGGCATGTACCTTGGTTGCAGACACATCCCCAGTAGGGAGTGTGCAGGAGGCAGCTGATCGATGTTTCTCTCTCATCGAAGTTTCTAACTCTCTATCCCTCTCCCTTTCTCTCTGTAAAAAATCAATAAAATATATTTTTTTTTAAAAAAGAAATAAATGTGGGAAATGATTTTTGCAAAATATTTTATAATTATCCTCAGACAAGTGGTCAGGCAGTAGAGTAGGAAAGTGAGCTAGCTGAGTTTACTGCTGACAAACCAGAATGAACTGACTCAGTGGAGAAAGTGCTATAGGATTGGGGAGGAAGGAGAAAGTGCAAGCCCCAGACACAAAAAACTAACAGATGCCAGTCTCCCACCCTGCTCTGGGAAAATTCCACTACACGGAGGAATCTGCTGCCTACATAGTGATAACACAGCTCTTTTCAGCCAGGGTACAGACAACATCTGGAATATGTTTGCGATAAGGGCAATCAGTAAAGCTGGTCTGGCCATAAAATGTGGTAAAAGCCAATTTGGACTTCAGAGTTCAAATATTTGGGATATAAGGTGGGACAGTAAAAGCCCTTGTGAGATAAACTAGGTGCTATCAGGGACTGGAAGGCTTCCGTGACTAAGGGAGAGTCAGGTAATTCTGAGGACAATTAGCGCATTTGAAAAGCATGCTCATTTCAAGATTTTATCTAGACATTGAACACAAAAGAATAAATTGGGAAAAGTTATTTGCACCTCCTTGGAGTTTTACTAGGCTTTGGAAAAGCTGAAACTGTCTTGGATTTCTTTACTGGTTTGATGAGCCCAGACTTTTCAAAATCCTTCCCTATGATCATGTTTTTCCCCCTTATACATTATTTACTGGGTTGAGGCAGTTTTACCTTAAAACCACAAAAATGTAAAGCAGCTTATAACAGATCTCTCTAGAAAACAATTGCCAAAAGACAGGAGCACTTCTTCTCTCTGAAAGAAGTGTCTAGCTAATATTTGGGTTTCAGCTAAACCCAAGCCATAAATATTTGGCCCAAAGTTGCCTTGTAAACTCTACTATAAAGATTATGCAAATGGAATTTTATTTTTTTTAAATATATTTTATTGATTTTTTACAGAGAGGAAGGGAGAGAAGCGCATTTGAAAAGCATGCTCATTTCAAGATTTTATCTAGACATTGAACACAAAAGAATAAATTGGGAAAAGTTATTTGCACCTCCTTGGAGTTTTACTAGGCTTTGGAAAAGCTGAAACTGTCTTGGATTTCTTTACTGGTTTGATGAGCCCAGACTTTTCAAAATCCTTCCCTATGATCATGTTTTTCCCCCTTATACATTATTTACTGGGTTGAGGCAGTTTTACCTTAAAACCACAAAAATGTAAAGCAGCTTCTAACAGATCTCTCTAGAAGACAATTGCCAAAGGACAGGAGCACTTCTTCTCTCTGAAAGAAGTGTCTAGCTAATATTTGGGTTTCAGCTAAACCCAAACCATAAATATTTGGCCCAATGTTGCCTTGTAAACTCTACTATAAAGATTATGCAAATGGAATTTTAGATAAATATCTGATGTATTCCTTAAGATGACCACAGCAAACAGGAAAATTTTATCTTAACTAGATGAGTACAAGCTCAAACATTCAGTAAACATATCACTATGGAGGGAAGGGAACAAGATATAAGAAGTCTGGTTGAAATCTTCTAGTACAATAATCCAAAAATGTATATGGAACCACAAAAGACCCCGAATATCCACAGCAATCTTGAGAATGAAGAACAAAGTTGAAGGTATCATACTACCTGATATCAAACTATACTATAAGACTATGATAATCAAAACAGCATGGTACTGGCATAATGGAAAAATTTTTGAAAGACTTTGAATGTACAGAACAGTGTGCTTAGTATGCTACTATTTATATTAAAAGCCTACTGTAGCCCTGGCTGGCTTGGCTCAGTGGATAGAGCGTCGGCCTGTGAAGGGTCCCCGGTTTGATTCCAGTCAAGGGCACATGCCTGGGTTGCGGGCTTGATCCCCAGTGGGGGGCGTGTGAGAGGAAGCTGATCAATGATTCTCTCTCATCATTGATGTTTCCATCTCTCTCTCCCTCTCCCTTCCTCTCTGAAGTCAATAAAAATGTATATTTTTTTAAAAGCCTACTGTACTTATGTAGACACTAGAGGCCTGGTGCATGGATTTGTGCATCTGTGGGGTCCCTTCGCCTGGCCTGCGGGGATTGGGCTGAAACCGACAGTCCGGCATCCCCCTGTCTCTTCAAAATCTTATTATTGGTTTATAAAGCCATTTTTATATGATCCTGTTCAACCATACCTCAAAAACCATGAACCCTATCAAAGCTAGGCTCCAACAGCCGCCACTGATCAAAGACTTTTCGCAAACCTCTTCCCCTTATCTTTACACTCAGCTTCTAAACTGCTTCCTTATCCATGTGGCTCAAACATCTCTGTTCTCACTAATGCCTTCGCCCCACCCCTCTGGCCTGATAGTCCACCAGATGACACTCAACCATGAGTGTCATCTCCCCTGGTTGGGCTGCCTTCAGCTGCCCAGGACAGACACACTCCGTTTCTTGTGTCCCTCGGACTCCATCTTGGCACAGGCCTTCTCTGGCAAAACCCCTTCTAAATTTGCCCAACAGATAAAGACATTCTGTGAGTTAAAGTAAATGCTAGTAGCAACAGCCTAGAAATGTGTGAAATACCTCTTATTATAGGGCCTAGCTGATGACAAGAGGGAGCCAAAACCAATCAAATAAAAAGTCATTTCCTTCCGATCAGGAAAAAACTGTCACCAGAAGGTTTGTAATCTCTGTAGACAGATGCCTTACATAGCTCCTTCTTTATTTTTCTCTTCTGCATTTTCTCTTCTGTATATGGAAAGGAAGCACCGCTCCAAGAGTAGATATAACTATTCACTCACAGGGTGACAGAAGGCAGGGACTTTACCATTACATAAACTTCCTGTGCCTATCTTGGTTCCTAGCACGTGGAAGGCACTCACTATATATTGTTAAATAACTAGTAAATGAATTAATTACATTTTAAATAATTATGTGAAAAAGTCATAGTTATAAAGCTAAGAGGAGAGGGCATACTCCACAGCCACACCAATTCTCAGGAAAGCCCACTCCGTGGCTCCTGGTTTGGGTGATTTAGCTGAGCCACCATGGCCATCTAGTGGCAGAGCACCTACATCGCTGGTTTAGTAGGTCAGTGGGGTTTCTTTTTTTAACCATTTCTTTTAAAGATAAAATTAAAATTAGGAAGTGATAGGAAACATATTACAGTATAAGAGAGAGTTAGAGAGGATGGAGATAAAACCAAGAGATGGGAGTTAAACTCCTGGGAGAGTTGGGGAAGGAAATGGCACCAGAGACAGAATAAGTAGAAGGAGTCAGATAAAGGGAGAAGGGGTGGGTAGGGTCTTGTACTTGTCAAAGTTGACATCCAACATGCCCGCCTTCTCCTGGCTGATTCGTAACAATGGGGTGTCCAGCCGCCGAATGCAGTCCTTGTCCAGGGTTGCTGTCCAGTCTTGGAAGGTTTTTCGAACCAGTTCATCAATGGCCTGAACCATCTGCTGATAGGTATGTACACTCTCCTCTCCAGTCCCAATGTGGGGCAGGAAATGAGCGTTAGAAAGACACTGAGGAAGAAAGAGAATGGGAGGACCTACTTACCAATTCCTCCACATTCCCATCAGCCTGAGACCACACACACACACACACACACACACACCAGCAATATGTGTGAGGCCTGCTAAGGAGATTGATTTTGACTACTTAGTCCAGCAGTTTTCAACCAGTGTTCCTCAGCACGCTGGTGTTGGTGTGCTGCAAGAATTTTTAAAACATGCAATACCTGACTAGTAGTCAGGGGCCCTGGCCTCTTTTCCCTTAGATTGTCAAATTAAAAAATGACAACAGCCGTGCTCGCTTCGGCAGCACATATACTAAAATTGGAACGATACAGAGAAGATAGCATAGCCCCTGTGCAAGGATGACATGCAAATTCGTGAAGCGTTCCATATTTTTTTTAAAAAATGACAACAGCCAATACAACAATAATCGTCCAATGTGAATAAATCAAAATTGTACTTTTTTTTTGGCAGATGGGCAAAAAATACATTTTTTGGTGTTCCGCAGAATTTTAATAATTAGTTTATGTGTGGCATGAGATGAAAAAGGTTAAAAATCGCTTATTTAGAGGGAAGGTGGAGCAAAAAAAAAAAAAGAGTGAGAAGACGAGACCAAGGCACGATGAAGAAATGGAGTCAAAATAAAGAAACAAAAGCACAAACATTCAGTTCAAGAAAAAAGTTGGGCCCTAGCTGGTTTGGCTCAGTGGATAGAGTCTCAGACCGAAGGGTCTCAGGTTCGATTTCGGTAACGGGCACATGCCCGAGTTGCGGGCTCGATCCCCAGTAGGAGAAAGCAGGAGGCAGCCGATCAATGATTCTCTCTCATCATTGATGTTTCTATCTCTCTCTCCCTCTCCCTTCCTCTTTGAAATCAATAAAAATATTTTTTTTTAAAGCTGGGGAAAGAAAACAAATTACAGGAGGTGAAGGATTTAAGAGGTATCAGATTGAAAACCAGTAAGTGCCCTTCCTCACTGAAGTCTGAGCCCACCACTTCTTAAGAAGCTTCCAATTGTCTGTAAGCTGCCTTATTCTCTCCCAGAACCAATTAGATGACGGCAGGTAGATAGCTTCAGACTTATATTCCCCAAACGTTTACGCTTTATTTTTCTGTTTCTTTGTGCCTATTCTTCTAGGGCAGCGGTTCTCAACCTGTGGGTCGCGACCCCTTTGGCGGTCGAACGACCCTTTCACAGGGGTCGCCTAAGACCATCCTGCATATCAGATATTTACATTATGATTCATAACAGTAGCAACATTACAGTTATGAAGTAGCAATGAAAATAATTTTATGGTTGGGTCACAACATGAGGAACTGTATTTAAAGGGCCAGGAGGTTGAAAACCACTGTTCTAGGGAGACAGGTCCTTTAAGGGTCTCACCTATCCAGTTCTCTGGATTTTGAGGTTGAATTACTCTTCTTGTGGCCCAGCTTCTCAGATGCTGGCCCCATTCCTCCTTTCCACCTTGATAGAAATGCCCATGTTCTACCAACCAGACTCACCATTGCTGCAAATCCAAGGCCATCGCCTGCCTCACGAGGAGCTGCATCTGCCACTCCCTTGGGTAGACTTCGTCTCTGGTCATGAAAACTCACTAGGGAATTTCTGGACGGGTCCCTCCCAGTATGTGGCACAGCCTGCAAACTCTACCGACTCACTGCGGACAAGTTGTAGCAAAGTTCAGGCACTTACATTCATGACCCTGTCGATGCGACGCCGCAGGATCCGCACCCAGTGAGCCTGTCCAGAAAACTGGGCCATGTAGGGCTCCAGGGATGGCCATTTCCTGTTCAGCTCACGGTTCACGAGGGCCAGTTCACTATTAAACAACATGTAGAGATCCACCGCCTTCTTGTCATATGTTCGCTTGATAGCCTAACGGAGAAGAGATAGAAGTTGACAATATGTCCTGGGGATGTGGGTTCCTCCAGTCACCCATCCTAGAGGAAGGCTACACCCTGCTGGGGGTCACACTCCTTAGCGATCTGGAAACTAGGGGCACAGAAGGAAGAAGAGAGACCATGGCAATTTAGGACACAGGAAAGAGCATGAATGGAGGCGGGATGGTGTCTGGAAGGCTCATGAGGAACTGAGGGAAAGCACAAGAGAACAAGGGGTGGAGGAAGCAGGCAGGGCAGCGACACCTCACGGGTTGCCAGCCTGTGGAAGGTATCCAGCAGCAGCACTCCATGCTCTACGTCTCGAACTAACTCGAAGGCAGAGGTGATCAAGTTCTGGGTCATCACCTCCAGGTCCTTGATTCCAGCACGGAAACTGCATCATCAGAGAGGTATGTTGAAAGGTGGGTGCCTTCGCCTGCCCCCAAGTGCACCCCTGAGTAAGAATCCTGTGTTATGTACTAAGATCTCCCCACGTGCCAGGCACTGACTAAGTGCTTTACATGCATTAATCCACTTATTCCTTAAAACAAGGCAATGAGATAGGTCCTATCACTAACCTTAGTTTGTAGACGAGGGAACAGAGGCTCTAACTGGTAGAGTCATTTGCCCAATCACATATCTAGTACGTGGCGGAAGTGGGCTTCCAGCCCCGAAAGGCTCCTCTGGAACCCTTCATCTCAGCAGACACAGCTTCCTTGCATTCGATCCTGCCTCCCTTTCCCTGATGTGTCACCTCCACACTTTCCTTTGTACGCCCTCACCACTCCTCCTAATCTTGGCTCCCCTGACCTCCCTTCCCTTGTCTGTGCAGAGTCAGCCTGTGGTTCTCTCACCGATTGTAGTCTTCATGCCAAGAGGTGTTCTTGACATCCAGGATGCCCCCGCGAACAGCTCGCAACATGTGCAGATTTTTATAAAAAATATCCTCAATCTCAAGCAAGTTCCGTGTTATCTGAGGCCCCTGGACGCCAAAGAAGCAAGGAAGGGGACCTTGCTTGCCATCCACCCAGCGGGCAAAATGGTACTGACAGTCACATACCTAAAAAAAAGTCAACATCAGAATTCCTGCTCTCCTTTCTGAACTTGTAAGTCCTGTGCCCTTTGATTTAACTTAAAATGTCTAAAAACTAAAGAGGATCAACCAGATGCAAGGGGCTAGTAAGATGGATTTTGGCTGCAGAATGGAATAGGAGATACTAAGGCAGTGATAACAGGCAAAAGTCTAAAAGGATGGGGTGGTGGTAGGGCACACAGGGATGCAGGAGGAGCCAAAGAGGTTAGGTTCTATGCTTAGCATCTTCCCAGCTCCCCCACTCCTGGATGGGAATTCTGGAGTGTCTGCGGTTAGCTTTGATTTTCCTCCCCTCACAGTCTTCCCACCTCAATAAGGTCCTTGCAGCGTTGCACAAAAGCATCAACCTGAGCAAATATGCTGGTCTGGTCTAGGACCCAGCCCCGACTGGAGAACCTGTGTTAGGAGAGAGACGGACCAAATCAAAAAGCAGGAACACTAGATATCAACCTGCCTGTGCAAAGCTAGAACTGGGTTCCTGGGTTCAGGGGGAGACTTAGAAATGAGACCCCAAGAAGCAACTTTCCTGAACCCTGAGAGAGAAAATGCAAGGTGAGGGTTACCAGCGAGGGGACAAAGTGCCTCGGTTCTAGGAAAAGGTTCATACGTAATGGAATTTCAGACTTTGGGGCCAAGAAAGGAAGAAAAGGCCAGGAAGGACTTCTGCAATCAGGGAGAAGAGGTGATTAGAGTGAGGAGAAAGAACCTCGGCTTAGGGGCCAGAATATCTGTATTCAGAGAGAAAACCTGGATCCATGTAGAAACTCACAGGTCTAGAAAAATATAATCCATAGACTTAAAAAAATAAGTGCAAGTGAAAGAAGTCAGAATCTACACTCTACAGCAGGGTGGGGAACGTCCAGCCGGCGGGCTGTATAAGGCCCAAGAAATCATTTGATCTGGTCCTGCCAAGGCAACCGCAGGCAGGACTCAAAATTCAACAAATCTAGGAGTTGTTTCCACAGCAACATAAATTTATATTAATAAATGATATTAGTAAATGATATTATAAATATCTTAAAGGCCCTTGGCAGAAAAAAAAAAAAGGTTGCTCTACAGGAATGAAGGGGGAATCTACAGAATGTTAGAGGAGACACATCGTACTGGGTATGCATTTGCACAGCCCGCAGATAATGGTCTTTCCAGGCATGACAGCAGGAAATGCAGCCTTGTAGGTCCTCCTTGCTAGAAGAGACATATCCCTCAAAGATGCGGTCCAGGGAGATGGCATGACAGCATAAGCGGATGATCTCGTTGCTCATCTGCAGAAGGAGTCCCAACGGCCTCAGTTCACAGCGTTAGTTGCACCCACCCCTTCTCTGAATCTCCCTGATGTGCCTCACATCTCAGCCTCCTACTTTCTGATCTGACTCCTGATACCCATCTTGCCTAAGTCCTCCACTGCTCGTGAACAGCCCCTCTGGCTTCACCTTCCTCCCTGCCTCAGCCCACCTCACAGCTGCACTGCCCAGCCGGCATTCAGCGTTTTCCCACACTTTGGTTCTGTCATCCCAGATGAAATGTGCCAGGTCCTGCTCCTCAAAAGCCAGTGTTCCTGCCCAGCCAGGTGTGGCTCAGTGGTTGAGCGTTGGCCCAGGAACCAGGAGGTCACCGGTTCGATTCTGGTCAGGGCATATGCCCAGGTTGCGGTTGCAAGCTCGATCCCCAGTAGGGGCTGTGCAAGAGGCAGCTGATCAATGATTCTCTCTTATCATTGATGTTTCTATCTCTTCCTCTCCCTTCCTCTCTGAAATATATATATATATTTTTTTATTTTTTATTTTTTTAAGCCAGTGTTCCTTCCTAAACCTACCTCTCGCCCACTGCAACTTCCATCTTTGGAAATGAGAAGAAGAGGGTCTTCCCCTCTTGTAAACTCAGCCTGGGAGTCTGTCCTTCCTGCCTCCCTCCCCTCTTCTCCATCAACTCCTCTTCTCAAAGCTCCTCTTCCCACCTAGGCTGCTTCCGTATGGAAGCAAAATGTCCAGCCCAGGCCCCAACTCTCAGAGCATCACTAACATTGATGACGCAGGCATAAGCCTTTGGTCCCTGACCTGAAGGGTGGTCCTTACTGTCTTTTCACCGTAGATCTTCTGTTAAAGGAATTCCACCTTCTTCAGGAAATCTGAAGACACATACCTTTCGGAAGAGGGAGGTCAGTCTCTCCCGAGTGTTGTAGTGGGGAGAGTTGACCCAGATGATCCGGATGAGACTGATCAACTTAGGAAGTTTATTAGAGATGTCCTTAGGCCGCATGAAGGCCAATTCCTGGTAAGGTTCCTTCAGGATTGACAAAAAAGTCAGGTTTGACTGTGCTTGACAAGAGCCATCCTGACAGGAGAGAGAAACCAGAAGTAGACTTGTCCACTGGAAAGAACTGGTTCAAAGCACTTTTTATCCATCTGAACCCCATCCTAACTTGCCTTCACTGAGAAGCATTCCCAATGAACCCAACCCTACCTGGTACTAATATTGACTTTTATTCATTTACCAGTTTCTACAAAAGTATTTTTAGGTCTTTGCTCATGTGTGAGTCCCATCTTGCCCACTAGACTGAGAGTTACCCAAACTTGTTTTTTTGTCTATTCCTCTAGTTTTTCTAGTTAAACTCAGCACTCTGCACAAAGTAGATAGTAGCTGTTGATCAACTAACCAGACATCACTCCCATTTGTCCCCATAGTTCCCCTCACTGCCCTGTTCTCAACCAGGATTTTAGACTTCTCCACCTGGCTATGGTTCAATTCCCTTAATACCTAGCTTAAAATTCCACCTAGGGGAAGAAGTCTTCTATCTCCATATTCTACAGATTACATTGATCTTCTGTGTCCCCAAAGCTCACATAATCAGCTTGCTACACTATATTAAATTTAGTTTTAAGTGTTTATCTTGCAACTCTCTTGGCTGAGCCACATGGGTTCCTCTTCAATCCCATGCCATCTAGTAATCCTATTTTGTGTAAGTCTTATGTTCTCCAACTGGATCGAAGGGGTTGGGTTCATAGAGGGTACTCAATGTATTTTTGTTGATTAACTAGTTGTCTCCCTAGCTAAACTACAAGCTCTTTGGGACCATCCTTTTGTTCTACTACTTTTATACTCTCCCACAAATACAAGTTCAAACACTGGGTTGGTCTATTTTGCTGTGGATGATTATAATGGCTCCCTCATCTTGGCACCCTATATTGTCCCAAGCACTGTCTACTTTCTGCTAAGCCTCCATCCTTTGATCCACCCACAAACCTGGATCTGCTGGGCCAGTTTCATAAAGGGTGTCAGGTAGGATGACTTGGCAAGGTGCAGGATGGACTCGATGTGTTTCACTCCCTCCTTCACCAGCTGTGAACTGATGCCAGACAGATCCATGCATCGGTTGCGCCAGAACTCAATCTCCTCCAAGGGACCTAGGTTTTCTCCTGTCTCCACAGTCTCCTGGGCACTGAGCACCTCCTTTATCTGCCGGGTCCAGTGGATCATGGAGGCTTCATGGGAGAATACAAAATCTCTTCATTGCTTTACACTGCTCCCAGGTATGTCCTCTCCCCTGCCCCCTGCATAGCCCTCCACACCCAACTCCTTTCTCACCATCTGGACTGCCCCCTTTCCTCCCCCAGGGTCCCCGACACACTGGCAATGCCAGCCACTCACTCTCTAGCCGCTGCACCAGCTCTTTGTCCTTATACACCACCTGAGGCTTCATGTTCATGGCCTCTGCAGGGATGTAGAGAACAGTGTGCCCCTCCAGTTTGTACCGAGTATCTACGGGAAGGATAAGACCATAGAACTTCACAAACAGGAATGAGTTTATGTCACCCAGTTCCAATCATGTTTGATGAAGTATATGCATTTCGGGAGAGCAGGCAGAAGAAATTGATATCTATATATCTCAAGAGGAAAAATAACAGAAGGCAAGACGAAAACTTCACTGAGGTATAATAAGAGGTTGTCATAAAACAAGGTCAAAGATCCATGCCCTCAACACTCTCTTCTATATTTGCACACCCTCTCTGCCTCCTCTCTGCCCCCACATTTCCCCCTACCCCACAACCATTCTACAGCAGAAATCTGTATATGGATTGGAAGACACATTCTGCACCCGGTTTCACTCATTCAACAAACACATACTGAACTGAGTACCTACTCTGTGCCAAGCAACATAGGTGCTCAGGATGACTCTCTGACCTGCCTCATCAGCTCTACTGTTGGTGGGGCACTAGGCACGCAAGCCTTTCTGCTCACCTGTCAGGCAGGCCAAGAACCTGTGCAGATGAGAAGCAAAATGATTTCGAATGCTCTCAGGCCAGCTGGTGTTTGTAAAGATCTGAGGGGCATAGACACCACTGAGGAGGCGAAGCAGGGCTGGGATGTAGGCACCCCGCACTGTCCCAAACTGCACAGTCGTCTCAAAGTTTTGTGGAGTGATGGGAACCGGTGCTTGGCGGATGAAGTACATAATCTGGTTCTGGGTCTGTAGGAAAGACAGTGAATAGATCAGACTTCAGTCACCAGGCCCAGCCTGATACCCAAAGGAATCTGAGGTTCCAGTCATGAAAGCCTGGCTGAGTTCTTTGTAACTTTCCCTTAGCACATCCTGGCCCTTCTCTAAATGTAAGTGTCATGAGGTGCTCCCTGTTCTTTTTAGGGACATAATAGAGTCCACACCCAGAGATGTAGGGAGGAAATGCAGAGAGCATACTTTGCGGATAGGAACTGTATATTATGTCCAACTTGGCTCCAGAACCTACCACAGTGACTAGTTCATAATAGTTGCTCAATAAATGTTGGACGGATGGACGGATGGATGGATGGATGGATGGAATGAAAAGAATAGAACAGAATAAAGCATTTTCAGATATAGGAAAAAGACTGGAAGAAAGAGACAATTGTCTAGGATTTTCTATTTCAGTTACATATACTTTTCTGACAATTTTTCATATATCCTTCAATTTTGTTTATGATGAGTCTTTGTTGTTGTTTGCATTCAGAAATTTATAACTTTCATGTAGTCAAAACTTTTTAAAGTTTCTGACTTCTACATGCTTAGAAAGTTCATTCCCACCTGAAGATCAGATTCACCTTTTTTTTCCCCTTTAGTGTTTTTGTAACTACTCTTTATAATTTAACATTTTTTAATTTTAACTGATTTGAGAGAGAGAGAGAGAGAGGAAAGGAGAGAGAAGTATCAATTTGTTGTTCCACTTATTTATGCATTCATTGGTTGCTTCTTGTATGTGAGAGAGACACATTGACTGTTTGCTTCCCACACATGTCAGGACTGGGGGCCGGGGAACGAACCTGCAACCCTTCAACCCTTCGGTGCAAGGACCAACACTTCAACTACTGAGCCACACCGGCCAGGATTTTGTGTCTATTTTTTTAAAAGCTTAACTACTATTATTTTTGTTAAATAATTTGCTAATTATAAATAACTGAAATAATGCATAAAGTTAAACAATGCATAAAATTAAAATGTCATCTGAAATTCCACCACCCAAGCAATGCTGTTAACACTGGGGGAAAAACAGTATTCCAAACATCTTTCTATAGTTATATAACATAGAAAAATAAAAGTTATTTCAAAATAGGATCATGATACTTTTTAAAGTATTAAATTTAATTTAATAATGTGAATATAAATAAAGGACTTGATCTTTAGATAAGTCTTTCTTTACCTGTAAGAGAGATTTCTTCATAAAAGACCTCTTACTAAGGTTATGAGAGATTATGAAAAATATCGAGTTTAGTTTTCTCACTATCTTTCTATTTTAAATTCTATTGACTTACGCTTTGAAAGATAAGAACATTGACATTCTCATACTCCCTCTCATTTTCTCACCACTTTGCAATTTTTGTTCCAGTATTATCTTTACCTTGTCCAAGTTGATAACATTCACATTCTATAGCATAACCATAATTCCCATGCTTATTTAGTATTAGTTCTTTATGTAAATGAACTGAATGTTCACAGATTCTCCATTCCTGAGCTCTTCATTTGGTTTATTTCTTAATAAACTAAGTTTTTGTTGATGTCATTTTTGTTTTTTTAAAGGAGGGTTCTTTGGGTGGTTTTTTCTTTTTTCTGTGGGTTTTTTTTTCTTTTCTGATTTTACTTTTTGCTCAATTTATCAAGAATTCAATGGTAATAAATTTTAAGGACATTTCAATTGGCCATCTTAACCCAGGAAAACATAATTAAGTCTGTGATCTATGTAGAATGTATTTCAATATGCTAAATATATTTTTTCAGCTATCTTGAGGCATATTTGACAAATAAAAATTATATGCATTTAAGGTATGCAACTTGATGTTTTGATATGTCTACACATTGTGAAATGATCATCACAATCAAGCTAATTAACATGTCCATCATCTCACATAGTTACCATTTTATTTTTCTTTTATTTTTTGGTTAGAACACTTAAGATTTGCCCTCTTAGCCCTGGCCAGGTAGCTCGGTTGGTTAGAGCATTATCCCCAATACAGTAAGGTTGCAGGTTTGATCCCGGGTCAGAGCATATACAAGAATCAACCAATGAATGCATGACTAAGTGGAACAACAAATCAATGTTTCTATCTCTTTCTCTAAAAATAAATAAAATAAAAATTAAAAGAAAATATTTGCTCTCTTAGCGAAATTCAAGTACACAACACAGCATTATTAGCCATAGTTACCATGCTGTATACTAGATCTTGAAATTTTGTACCCTCCCCCGCCCCAGTTTTATTTTGACAAAACTGACCTATAACATTACTCTGGCAACTACAAATCTGTAATCTGTTTCAATGAGTTTTTCCCCCTAGATTCCACATATAAGTGAGATCATATAATATTTATCTTTGTCTGACTTATTTCACTTAGCATAACAACCTTCATGCCCATCCATATTGTTGCAAATGGCACAATTTTCCTTCTTTCTCATTGCTGAATAATATTCCAGTGTGTATGCTTGTATGAATCCTATATAATAAAAGGCTAATATGCAAATCAACCGAACAGCAGAACAACCAGTCGCTATGACATGCACTGACCACCAGGGGGTAGACGCTCAACGCAGGAGCTGCCCCCTGGTAGTCAGTGAGCTCCGGGAGTCTCTCCCACCTCCATGGCAGTTGGAAATCCCCCAAGGGCTCCCAGACTGTGAGAGGGTGCAGGCTGGGCTGAGGGACCCCTCCCCCTCCACCAGCGAGGGCATGAATTTTGTGCACTGGGCCTCTAGTGTGTGTGAGTGTGTGTGTGTGTGTGTGTGTATACATATATATACATATATGTATACATATCCTCCATCAGTGTTTGCTTAGGCTGTTTCCATGTCTTAGCTATTATAAATAATGCTACAATAAACATGAGGGTTCAGATATTACTTTGAGAAACTGATTTCATTTCCTTCAGATATATACCCAAAAGAGGAACTGCTGGATCATATGGTAGTTGTACTTTAAAATTTTTGAGGAAATTCCATACTATTTTCCATAGTGGCTGCACCAATTTACATTCCCAACGACAATGCATAAGGGTTCCCTTTTTTCACATCCTCATGCACATTTGTTATTTCTTGTCTTTTTGATGATACCCATTCTAAAAGGTGTGAGGTGATGGTGGTTTTGATATTCATTTCCTAATGATTAGTGATGTTGAGCATCTTTTCATGTACCTGTTGGCCATTTGTTTGCCTTCTTCGGAAAAACATCTTTTCAGTTCTTCTGCCCATATCTTAGATTGTCATTTTGCTACTGAGTTATATGAGTTCTTCATATTTTTTGGATAATAACCTCTTAACTGATTTATGATTTGCAAATATTTTCTCCTACCTTAGGTTTTCTTTTCATGTTGTTGTTTTCCTTCACTGTGCAGAAGCTTTTCAGTTTGATGCAGTTCCACTTGTTTATTTTTGTTTTTATGCCCTTTGTTTTTGGTGTCAGAAACCCTGTCCTATTTGACCAATATTTCCACATTTCCCCCTCCCTTCAGCTAAGGAGATCTTTTTTTCTTTTTTCTTTTTTTAATGTTTTTATTGATTTCAGAGAAAGGGAGGGAGAGAGATAGAAACATCAATGATGAGAGAGGATCATTGATCAGCTGCCTCCTGCACGCCCTCTATTGGGGACAGAGCCCGCATGTGCCCTGACGAGGAATTGAACCAGTGACTTCCTGGTTCGTGGGCCGATGCTCAACCTCTGAGCCACTGACAGGGCAGCTAAGTAGACCTTTTAATGGAAAAATGTTGTTTTTCGTGTTTCCCAATTCCATTCACTGAATAATTTATCCTTCCCACAGATTTTAAATGCCATTTTTGTAGAAAATGCTTACATATATGGTTCTGTACTTTCTATGTTTCTTTACTGTAGCTTATATAATATATATTCCTGCCCCAGTACAACTGTTTTTAATTACTATAGCTTAATAAAAGACTTTCATTTTCACAAGTCTCCTCCAATACTTTCCTTCATCATTTTCTTTGTTATATTCATGCATTTTTCTGGATATATTTTTAAATCCTTTACACAAGGTATCTAAGGACTGTGGCACTTTGATTGGATTGCATTAAAATAGTACATTTTTTAGATGGAATGATCTTAATATAATATTAAAATTCCCACTCAGAAACAGGGTATACCTCACCATATCCAAATCTTCTTTCATGGCCTTCAGCAAAGGTGTTTTCTTTCATATAAATCCTACATATATTTTGCAAATTTTTGTCCCTTTTGTGAATAAAATATTTTTTCATCATGTTTTGTAGCTGATTATTGCCAATATATAAGGGAAATCAATAGCCTGTGTTTACATTTAATATGTTTCACAAATTGTGTCATTATACAGGATCATGCTCATCTTCATTATCATTGTTATTTTTGTATGTGTACTGGCAATAACAGCAAAGCAATAGCCTTTTTCTTTTCCAACATTTTATTTCAAATTTTTTCAAGCATATAACAAAGTTAAAAGAATTTTATAATAATGACCTGTACACCTACCACCCAGATTCTACCACTAACACTTTACTATACAGTGGGGCCTTGACTTATGAGTTTAATTCGTTCCGAGACCGAGCTCGTTAAGGAGCTTGTTAACTCAAATTACTCTATCAACTCAACGCAGCAAAAACTCGGCCGAGAGACAGCTGGTATCTCAAAAAACTCGTTAGTCGGGACACTCGTAAGTCAAGGCCCCACTGTATGTCTTTTAACTGTCTCCCTACCCGTGGTTTACCCTTCACTAATGTATCCCCCACCTTGTTGAAATACTTATATATCTAATCCATGGACGCCTTCAATATGTCCCTCTGGGATAGAAGCCAAATTCTTTGCATAACATACAAGGGCCTTCACAAGCTGACCCCAACTTCAGTATCATCTCCCACAACTCCTCTTTTCTTTGCACATAAAGTGGTCTTTACTGACACAGCTCTTACCGAGTCTCCATGAAATCCTACTTACTCTGCATCCCCAACTCAAATAGCACCTCCATCACCAAGCCTTGCCAGCATCCACTGGCCACGTTAGTTGCTCCCATAAAGCTCCTATAAAGTTTTGCTCATGCATCATAATCTGTTGTAAATACTTCTTATATGTCTGTCTTTCCCACTGGACCACGAGATCATCAAAAGCAAAAGCCTGCTTCATTCCTCTCCGTGGCAACAGAACTTGGGCACAGATGACAGAGATATGCGGAACCCTCAGCTCCCTGAAGACCACCTTGGAGCCTGAGTAGCGGAGTACCCACCTGTACAGGCATGCCCATTTCTAGCTTCAGCCCCAAAATAGGGTCAATGAAGATGGTAAGGACGGGCTCTGTCGGGTCCTGGGCAAAGTGTTCCAGCATGGCATCGTGCTCCACGGTCCATTTGGCATCCGCCAGTCCTGTCAGCACAGTCCGAGACAGGAAAAAGGGCTTCTACAGAAGGAAAACAGCCAAAAAAGATACAGCTGTTAGGATGAGTCATCTCTCCCATCCACAGTCACATGTGAGGACACAGAAAATGAGAGCAGTCAGACAGGACCAGAATAGTGAAGAGAAAGCTGAGGATGAGCTGAATGATAGGTTTCACGCTTTTGATAAAATAAGACAATGAGATTCTCTTGCCTCCATTAGTAAAGACAGAATGGATTGTAGAGAAACCCAGGATTTTTCTTAGTTTCATTTCAAAGAAGGTTATCCTTCCTTGAGATCTTTTCTTCCCAAGATATTTCATTTGTGCCTGTGGCTGTAAAAATGCATCATCGGCCCTAACCGGTTTGGCTCAGTGGATAGAGCGTCGGCCTGCGGACTCAAGGGTCCCAGGTTCGATTCCGGCCAAGGGCATGTACCTTGGTTGCGGGCACATCCCCAGTGGAGGGTGTGCAGGAGGCAGCTGATCGATGTTTCTCTCTCATTGATGTTTCTAACTCTCTATACTTCTCCCTCCTCTTTGTAAAAAATCAATAAAATATATTTTTTAAAAAATAAAAATAAAAAAATAAAAATAAAAATGCATCATCAAGCAACTCTCAACCTCAAAGTCAAACTAAATTAAGGGAACATGTAGGACATTAGCCTAAATCAACCAATTAGAAGTAAGGAGATGACAAGCTGGAAAAAGGATAAGGGTGCAAGAGCAATTTCTTCATGATGCAACAGCCTCCTCAAAATACTGAAATAAGTATGAAATATTAGGTAAAAGTCAATTGGCATAGCAGTGAGGAAGAAGTGAGGAAAAAAGACGGGAAAACACCAAAGAACAAATTAATTAGATGGAAAGGAAACTGTAATTGATGACTAGAAAAAAATTAATCTGTAGAACTTTACTAAATAAATTAAGGACACAAAGATATAAAGATATTGTTAAGTGAACTTGAGAAGCCACCCTGTCCTTCTCCCATATTCCTGGAATATGAGAAGAAATCTCTTTTATTTAAAGTTTCCAGGTCAGCCCTAGCTGGTTTGGCCCAGTGGATGGAGCGTTGACCTGCAGACTGAAAGGTCCTGGGTTCGGTCCCATCAAGGGCACACGCCCAGGTTGCAGGCTTGATCCCCAGTAGGGGTGAGCAGGAGACAACTGATCAATGATTCTCTCTCATCATTGATGTTTCTATCTCTCTCTCCCTCTTCCTTCTTCTCTGAAGTCAATAAAAATACTTTTTAAACATAATAATAATAATAATAATGAAGTTTCCAAGTCAAGAAAACTTAGACAGTGACCTAAAATCTTCCCTATATTAATCACTTGTATGTCATAAGTGTCTATAGACACAAGCAGTGGACCTTTTTTAATTAAACTCAAAATATCGTGGCAGTTTAACTGGTTAAGACACAGATGAACCAGTGAGAAAAACACTAAGACCCTGATAAATAAATGGACAAAAGGATGTAAACTGGCATGCCAGAAAAAGAAAAATATGAAAAAATGTTCAATTTCAGTTGAAATCAAAGAAATACAAATAAAAATAGCAAAGATATATCATTTATTGCCTATCATTTTTTAAAATCCTGCTAAATTGGTAACACTTAGACCTGGAAAGGGTTTGTTGCTAGTGTGAGGACAAAAGGTACAATGCATTTGGAAAACAGCTTGGTATTATGTATTAAACTAGAGGCTCAGTACATAAATTTGTGTACCAGTGGGGTCTCTCGGCCTGGCCTGCAGGATAGGGCCAAAACTGGCTCTCCAACATCCCCAAGGGGTCCCGGATTGTGAGAGAGCACAGGCCAGGCTGAGGGACCCCAGTGGGGCAAGATCAGGGCCGGGGAGGGACACAGGAGGTTGGCCAGCCAGGGAGGGACCGCGGGAGGGCTCCAGGGCATGTCCAGCCCATCTTGCTCAGTTCCAATTGGCCAAACCCCAGCAGCAAGTTAACCCGCCAGTCAGAGCGTCTGCCCCCTGGTGGTCAGTGCATGTCAGAGCAACTGGTAAACCGGTCAACTGTCTGCCCCCTGGTGGTCAGTGCACGTCATAGCGAGCGGTTGAGCAGCCTTAGCATATCATTAGCATATAACACTTTGATTGGTTGAACAGCCAACCAGTCAACCGGACACTTAGCATATTAGGCTTTTATTATATAGGACTAGAGGCCCGATGCACAAAGATTCGTGCAAGAATGGGCCTTCCTTCCCCTGGCTGCCAGCACCGCCTTCACTCTGGCCAGAGCCTCCTTTCCTCCTTCACTTGGCCAGGAGCAGCCTTTCTGCCTTCGTTCAGGCCCTGGAGCCGCCTTTCCGCCTTCCCATGCTGCCCAGAGGCCCAGAACAGCTGGGGCAGTGTGGAACGCCTGTGTCATCACCATGGTGACAACGCAAGCGTCCTGCCCCGCCCCTGCCACTAGGCACCTGTGTATGCAAATTAACCCACCATCTTTGTTGGGTTAATTTGCATAGCCACTCCTGATTGGCTGGTGGGTGTCGTGAAGGTACAGTCGATTTGCATCTTTCTCTTTTATTAGTGTAGATTATTAGAAATGTTCTGCCCTGGCCAGTTTTGCTCAGTGGATAGAACAGTGGCCTGCAGACTGCAAAGTCCCGGGCTTGATTCCGGTCAAGGGCACATACCCAGGTTGTGGGCTCCATCCTCAGTAGGGGGCATGCAGGAGGCAGCCAATCAAAGATTCTCTCTCATCACTGATTTTTCTATCCTCTCTGAAATCAATAAAAATATTTTTTTAATAAAGAAATGTTCTTGCCCTAACCGGTTTGGCTCAGTGGATAGAGCGTCGACCTACGGACTAAAAGGTCCCAGGTTCAATTCTGGTCAAGGGCATGTACCTTGGTTGTGGGCACATCCCCAGCAGGAGGTGTGCAGGAGGCAGCTGATCGATGTTTCTCTCTCATCGATGTTTCTGGCTCTCTATCCCTCTCCCTTCCTTTCTGTAAAAAATCAATAAAATATATTTAAAAAGAAATGTTCTTTACTCTTTGATTCAGTCATTCCATACACAGGAATCTAAAGAAAATATTAAGTATTTCAAAGTGTGCTAGTTTTATTTATAATATTCATCACAGTATTATTATGAGAGCAAAAAATTAGAAATGGCAAAATGTCCAAGAGTCATGATTTAACTATGGCACATACATCTAATCAAGAACTATACCACCATTTTAAAAAATAAAAATAATAAAATGGTGCTTACAAAAAAGTATATTATAGCTGGGCTGGTGTGATTCAGTAGTTGAGTGTTGACTTATGAACCAGGAGGTCACAGTTGGATTCCTGGTCAGGGCACATACCAGGGTTTCAGGCTTGGTTCCCAGTAGGGGGCATGCAGGAGGCAGCCAATCAATGATTCTCTCCCATCATTGATGTTTCTATCTCTCTCTCCCTCTCCCTTCCTCTCTGAAATTAAAATATTTTAAAGTATATCATAACTAGAGGCCTGATGCACAAAATGCATGCATGGGTAGGGTCCCTAGGCCTGGCAGGCAATCAGGGCTGATCAGAGCCTTCCAGCTGCCAGCCAGGACCTTCCTTTATTCTGCACCACCCCCTGGTGGTCAGCACAAGTCATAGCAAGCAATCGGTATCCCAGTGGAACTCCCACAGGGACAATTTGCATATTAGGCTTTTATATATATAGACTAGAGGCCAGGTGCACAAAAATTTGTGCACTCGGGGGGCGGGGGAGGGGGGGTCCCCC